TTGAATGGCCATGACGGCCTGTTGACCTTCTCTGGTGAGCAAAAAAGGTCTCTGACGCTAAGAATTCAGGAGTATGCAAGATACTTCGGAAGGACCAACCACTTCGTCAGCAATGCAGTGCCCTACTTGTGGAAGAATATTTGCCTGTGATGGTAGTCTTTCTATGCACATAGAAAATATGCACAGTGGAGCTCGGCCATTCCCATGTACCAGGTCCGATTGCAATAAGACATTTCCCTCCGCCGAACACCTGAGGAAGCATCTACGAAACACTCATAACCCTTCAAGGTATGCTACCTTCAAACTTCTTGAACATTCAATAATTAATTGACCCTATTCAGATTGAAATGTTCGCATTGTGAACTAGTTTATTCAACGAGCTCAGCACTTCGACGACACGAAAGGATTCACTCAAAATTGAGAAGGTAGGAGTACAGTCATTGAAAAATCCGCTTATCTTTACTAGAGAAAAGGGCGACGCACGCGGCGGTAAGGCGTAGTCTCGCATTCCGGACATATAGCCCCTCCCCGGTCCATAAACACGCTTAATTGAACCAGCTACGTATACATCAACCTTCTGTTTTTCTCCACACCTTCTGGTCCGTATGACGTTCTATGGTCACTGTGACCTCACAAATTCCGCCTTTCGCAAATGATAATGGATAACCCTCTCTGGAGCCCTCACCCAATGAAGAAGGCCTATCCTGATTCGCTACATGGCTTCGTGTGCATTTGGATGCTTTGGCATCCGCCGTCCTGTCGCTATCTGTCTGCGTTAGGCAGCGTTCGAACATCGCGCTGTAACGCACAGTCTCGCGCGACGACGCGCTCTCAGACAGCGTTCAGACTTCGCGACTTCAGCGCTTTGGTCAAGCGCAATCAATCGATTTCGACTGCATCGATCGCGTCGAATGCGCGACCGAAGCGCGTTGTCGCGAAGTCTAACGCTGCCTCAGGCGCGATGCGTGCGTAGATGCGCTATGTTTACAACAGCTCCACTCCAATAGACCAGCGAGCAGCCATAGATGGGAATCGACCAGATAGCTCCCCCCTCCCAGCAACCAGTGCCGATCGATACCACACTGCACGATTGAGCAACATTACCCCCCCCCCTTCTCCCCCTACCCTCGCTCCAAGAATATAAGTGCATTCGCGCTTATATCCTTGAAGCACGGTTGCAAGCACCCTACGGCGCGTCAACGCGAAGTCTCAACGCTGCCCTACGTAATTCTGCAACAGTACCATGAACAAAACTTCGAGATGTCCATGACAGTAATCCTAGGAGGAGGGGGGAGTAGCCTCGCCCCCTCCTGAGAATACTTTAGCGGTGCAAACATTGCAAAAGGTATACGACAGCGCCTTGAAGGAGCGAGCACTCAGCTTTCACTGGCGCTCGGTTCCGTTCTTCCTTTCCGAGCAAAATGTAATCAGATAATAAGGGAAAATTATGCATCAAATAAGTGTGCAGTTAGACCGCCATGTCTTCCCTCCTGATTTTTCTTCTCAGGTACACATGCTCTCGATGCGGAGCTGGGTTCGACTTGAGTGAACCGTACAAAATCCACCTTCGTCAACACGATGGTCTACAACCTTACTCGTGTTCCGTTTGCGCGAAAAGGTTTACATCAAGGGCAGTTTGCAGAAGGCATCGTCTAAGTCATAATAAAGATTCATAAACACGACTAGATATGTAAAGGTAGGATATCACCAGTATTCACAACAGAAAGTAATTAGTTCTTATTCATTGAAATTATTGAAAATATGTACATACAAGTCTAATAACCGTAGCACCGGGAATCACACAAAGTCACTTCAGCGATCCTTGAAACAACGTCTCAAACATCTCCACGAGTCTTCTCATCTCTTTGCTAAAAACGAAAATGTAGATGATGGTCATGTACATAAAAAAGATGATAACATATGCATACATTTGTTTTGATAACGTCGACATTTTTTGCATCGCGTGATTCACCTCTTCGACTTTGGCTAGCATCTTAAACAATGCTTGTCATACCAACGATCACAACAATGAAAAACAAAATTTTAGACTGCATGAGTTCAGAGACTCAAGTGATGGAAATATGTTTTGCGCTTCACAACAATGAAATTGAACACAATTAAGTGTCAAACAAGTCTTAATTTCCGTATCCGAATGATGGAGCTAGATAGTCTGTTGTTCAGTAATGTAAAGAAGGATAGGTATCTGATGTCCGTTAGCCACTCAACGGAACGTACATCTCCGAGCGTATAGTACAGCACAGTACCAAGTTCCAGAAGAGATCGCGAAGTCTGAACGCGGTCTTACTGTAACTAGCGCGCTCGGAGACGTTCGTTGAAAGAGGTCTAACGCTCAGAAGTTTGAAAACTTCTCTCTGTCAAAATGCGTCTATCTAGGAACGAAAATTTTTGAAGTTAATACTGTAGGTGCAGAACCAGGCAAGAGGAACGGAACGCATTGGCTTTAGGTAGAAATCGAAATTTTGGTTATAACGATACGAAATTTCTGCAAGACGACGTGTAAAGGTTTGGAAACACTCCCAGTTCAGCGGTATAACCTCGGTAATGTTAAATACGATACTTTGAACGAAGATCGAGCTGTTTGATAGTATTCTTTAACTGAATATAGCCAGTACAACGTGGAGCAATTCTTAACCGCGATAACTTGGATTATGACCAGGAAGTGGATATGAAAATTCCAGCAATTTCCCCAAACCGAGGTTGTCCGGGCTATATTTTCGACAAGCAAGTGGGAGCGTTGTGTGTTCCATAATGCCTATGTGCTTCGCCGAGAGTATTCTTCCTCGGTACGATGATGCTTTTTAACACCCTATACAGTTCCATGCCGCGAAGCTTCCTTCACTTTGTTGGAACGCTGGAATTGAACCCCTTGCATGTGATACATAGTTCACACTCTCTTACAGCCTTCGCCTCATTACCTCTGAAAAGGCAGAACTTCGGTTGGTAGCTGGAGTGGACAATTTTTCTTCTTCAAAGCAGGCAGTTGTGCGCGACAGTAATTTCCACCTACATATTCCTAAAGTCCACCGCCAGCATGCAGATGGGTTATCCTCCAGAATACCCTCGAGCTATAACCCATTATAGCCCAGTATTCTAAAAGCTAGAATACGAAAAACTTCTCACCATTTTCAGGAACATTGCAAGCCATAAGAGGGGATCATTCGAAGGTTTGAAGAGGATTGGTCAGCAATAACACCCTGCGCGATGCCGCGACTAAAGTAATGTTCCACACGCATCTACTGCAAGCACAGCCGCGCTCCCTACCCCACTTTTCGGGAGCGATAATTCAGGACTAAGGGACGTTTCAGGGCCAGCTTGACTACAAGCTGTAGATTTCAATCAACTGGAATTCAATATAAGACTTACAGCGTATGTTGATTTGACGTTCACGTCAGCGATTTCACATGCATTTCCTATCGCAGCGTTGTAACACTGCAATGACTCTAACGTCAAGTCGCCCATTCCATGAAGTGAACCCCTGAAAACGCGTTAGCAGAAGAAAATGAACAATTAGTCACCGGGAAATCACCTGAGATCACGTAGCATGCTATCTAAATTAGCGGAGACTTCCTTAGCATGAACCTCAAGATCGTCCAGGATCTGTAAGAGAATTCAGAAGTGATTACAATCGCAGAAACAATGTTATCGAAGATATATGGTACACCAACCCTCGGATCAGGAAGTAGAACTCTTTCATCTGCTAGCATAACCTGTTGAGGGTCTTCTGACATATGAAGACTTCCCCGCAGTCGTTCTTCCAAATCGGATGGCGCGAACATCGCTGGCTGCTCTGTTACCGCATCTTCTTCTCGGCTTGATGCTGAAGCCTCCGTAGATGACATTAGGCAACCCTGAACCTGTCGTTTAACCAACAAAACGCCACTCCAGCAGCAAGATCGTGACCGTTTGCCGTTTAATCGCTAGGCCAACCATACAACTGCAATCCTGAAGCATTCCACAAATCCAGATAATGAATGTAATGACATGTCGGTATATAAGCACATTCTAGAATCCTAGAGATTTA